ATTTAAAAAAAAAAAAAAAAAGAATTGTTGTTTTAGCGTAACCATAGCAACAGAATGTCAGTCGTTCAGTGTAGAAGTTGGGAGCTAACTGAATTATAAATAAATTTGAAAATATTTAATTATTTTAGGTGAGATTCGCAGAAAATGCTTTATAATCTATAAGCTAATAAGTCTAGCAAGTAATTATTAATTTTATATTAATGCTATATTCGATGCGGATGGATTTCTCAGAATGTATAAAATGACGTTTTTAATCCATGTTTCAGGTCATTGACATATTATTTATTTATTTTTCTGTATTTTTACAGCTGAAACATTATACAGAATGCAAAGGGAAGAAGTTAAATATGTTCAAAGGTAATTGAGATGATTTCACCTCAGAATTTCTATATATGAAATGCAAATAATTAACATTTGCATAACATTCATTATTATAAGTGCACACATACATACAGTGCAAGCTAGGTAAATGACACTGACAAAACCTTCAAAATATACCGGCAAATATATAATTTAATACGAATACTTTTCGATCCGAATAGGATTCGTGTCCTATTCGGGTAAAAAATGTTCCATAGAATTAGAATGGCAAACCGTGGAATTTAGATATTTTGAAGTGGTCAGAATGGTAAATATTAAAACAAGTATACAAAAAAAAAACCATGCCTAAAATGTTAAAATTAAAACGAAAATTAACAGATACGTTCGTTACAAAAGTCAAGCAAATGGAATCAATTAAGAAATCGAATGGAAAAAGTCATTTTCTCGGAGAAACAAGTTTAATCTTAATGGGCTGGACGGATGCGTGTGCTGTTTTTTGGTCTTTAAGGCAATTTTATCCAAAGGCAACAAGGTAATGACAAAAGGTAATAGAAAATCAAGCTAAATTGGCAAAATGTTGAAACTTTAAACTGGAAAATTGGTTGCAGGATGAATTTTTTTGTTACATTATTTTGATAATTTATTGTTATTATTTGATATTTGCAATTTGCAAGATAACATTTTGTGAAAATAAATCTTTTAACTTTTTTATCTTAAAATGCCGTTTTGCGTAACTTTTGAAATTTGTAATAATTTTTTTCGTGTGGCTAATTTTTTGTCATGTACTGTATTTATGTTTCTCTGTTTGTTATTGGGAACAAACCTTTTCTTAATAACTTTAACAAACTTTATATAAATTTTATTTGAATATAAATGATGATCACAATGATACGAAGTTATCTTCATTATTTTATTTTAGTTGTAAATGAAATAAAAAATGGTATCATGTTTCACTTATATAATATTATATGTGTTCTTAATCGTTTAGTCCTTGCTGAATGGCTACTATGAAATGGAATTGTCTCAAAGATCCATAATAAAATACCAACCGAGGAGTACAAAAGCAAGAGTTGGTGCTTCACTTGCCATTACCAAGATAAAGGAAAACTTTTTACAGAAACTGTTATTGCAGGAAATAAAATATGGGTTTACAAATTTATTTCAGAGTCAAAAGGAAACTCCATGCCAATTCATTAGCTGTCAAAACTTTGATGTTCAATCATTTGCAAGAAAAACAGTGATGACTGCGTTCTGGGATTGTGAAGTCCTCCTACTATGTTTATTTTTCCTGCCAAATGAAACCATTAACAGTAACAGATACTGTGAAACTCTTGACAAATCATGTGAAGTTATTAATTGAAAGGGACCAGCATGGTTATGTGCTAGAGTGAGACTACTACATGATGGTACATGACCTCACACAAACCAGAGAAAAGCTTGGTTAGATACTATGTAGTCCTGATCTAGTTCTAACACATTTTCATCTATTTGGCCCATTCAAGAACTTCTTAGCATGAAAAAGATTCAAGAACCAAAACATATTGGAAACTACAGTTGTCCACTTCACGATGCTTGGGCAGGAAAACTACTTGGAAGGAATGTTCAAATTTGTTAAACACTAGGGTAAATGAATGCTTGTGAAAAAATAAACATTAGTATGTAATGCTTATTGAATTTTTTCGAGATTTTTTGTAATAAATATAATTTGGATCTGTACCTTAATTATCAGACAAGTCTTGTATTCATATAGACAGATATATATGATATGATTGGGTTGATGCAAAAGTTTCTGGAATTCTGTAGATCTCTCTAAAATATTTGAAATTATTCTTCAACAGATGACATCTAGAAGTTTCTTGAGAGGTACATAAATGAAGGGCATTGAGATACACAGTCATAAAGAGATATTCTGTGTGGTGATACTAACTTTTTAAATGTCAAGTTTTCCAGATCATTCTTGTGATAAAATTTGCTCATGTATGCTTTAAGATTATCAATTTGATATAAACCTTCATTCCAAGAGATGAAAAATGATACTTGTATGTACAAAAGTACATCTTAAAGTACAAAAGGTCATGGACTGATATCAGTCAAGCAGCATGGGCAATACCAAACACCAGAATGGCATCAGCACAAGGTTATGCTCTGTATTTGGTTGGATGTTTACAGACCAGTTCATTGAAAGATACTTCCACAAAGTACAACTATTACATCTGAAATCTACTGCACTCATTAATGAAAATCACTGATGAGTGCAGTAGATTTCAGACAAAGGTATCAACCAGCTTGCCTACTCTGGGATACTCAGATTCAACTTTGGATCATCATTGTTATTTCCAAGGGTGGGTTGGTCCAGATACATTTAGTAAAAAAAAGAATTGTTGTTTTAGCGTAACCATAGCAACAGAATGTCAGTCGTTCAGTGTAGAAGTTGGGAGCTAACTGAATTATAAATAAATTTGAAAATATTTAATTATTTTAGGTGAGATTCGCAGAAAATGCTTTATAATCTATAAGCTAATAAGTCTAGCAAGTAATTATTAATTTTATATTAATGCTATATTCGATGCGGATGGATTTCTCAGAATGTATAAAATGACGTTTTTAATCCATGTTTCAGGTCATTGACATATTATTTATTTATTTTTCTGTATTTTTACAGCTGAAACATTATACAGAATGCAAAGGGAAGAAGTTAAATATGTTCAAAGGTAATTGAGATGATTTCACCTCAGAATTTCTATATATGAAATGCAAATAATTAACATTTGCATAACATTCATTATTATAAGTGCACACATACATACAGTGCAAGCTAGGTAAATGACACTGACAAAACCTTCAAAATATACCGGCAAATATATAATTTAATACGAATACTTTTCGATCCGAATAGGATTCGTGTCGGGTAAAAAATGTTCCATAGAATTAGAATGGCAAACCGTGGAATTTAGATATTTTGAAGTGGTCAGAATGGTAAATATTAAAACAAGTATACAAAAAAAAAACCATGCCTAAAATGTTAAAATTAAAACGAAAATTAACAGATACGTTCGTTACAAAAGTCAAGCAAATGGAATCAATTAAGAAATCGAATGGAAAAAGTCATTTTCTCGGAGAAACAAGTTTAATCTTAATGGGCTGGACGGATGCGTGTGCTGTTTTTTGGTCTTTAAGGCAATTTTATCCAAAGGCAACAAGGTAATGACAAAAGGCAATAGAAAATCAAGCTAAATTGGCAAAATGTTGAAACTTTAAACTGGAAAATTGGTTGCAGGATGAATTTTTTGTTACATTATTTTGATAATTTATTGTTATTATTTGATATTTGCAATTTGCAAGATAACATTTTGTGAAAATAAATCTTTTAACTTTTTTATTTTAAAATGCCGTTTTGCATAACTTTTGAAATTTGTAATAATTTTTTTCATGTGGCTAATTTTTTGTCGTGTACTGTATTTATGTTTCTCTGTTTGTTATTGGGAACAAACCTTTTCTTAATAACTTTAACAAACTTTATATAAATTTTATTTGAATATAAATGATGATCACAATGATACGAAGTTATCTTCATTATTTTATTCTAGTTGTAAATGAAATGAAAAATAGTATCATGTTTCACTTATGTAACGTTATATGTGTTCTTAATCGTTTAGTCCTTGCTGAATGGCTACTATGAAATGGAATTGTCTCAAAGATCCATAATAAAATACCAACCGAGGAGTACAAAAGCAAGAGTTGGTGCTTCACTTGCCATTACCAAGATAAAGGAAAACTTTTTACAGAAACTGTTATTGCAGGAAATAAAATATGGGTTTACAAATTTATTTCAGAGTCAAAAGGAAACTCCATGCCAATTCATTAGCTGTCAAAACTTTGATGTTCAATCATTTGCAAGAAAAACAGTGATGACTGCGTTCTGGGATTGTGAAGTCCTCCTACTATGTTTATTTTTCCTGCCAAATGAAACCATTAACAGTAACAGATACTGTGAAACTCTTGACAAATCATGTGAAGTTATTAATTGAAAGGGACCAGCATGGTTATGTGCTAGAGTGAGACTACTACATGATGGTACATGACCTCACACAAACCAGAGAAAAGCTTGGTTAGATACTATGTAGTCCTGATCTAGTTCTAACACATTTTCATCTATTTGGCCCATTCAAGAACTTCTTAGCATGAAAAAGATTCAAGAACCAAAACATATTGGAAACCACAGTTGTCCACTTCACGATGCTTGGGCAGGAAAACTACTTGGAAGGAATGTTCAAATTTGTTAAACACTAGGGTAAATGAATGCTTGTGAAAAAATAAACATTAGTATGTAATGCTTATTGAATTTTTTCGAGATTTTTTGTAATAAATATAATTTGGATCTGTACCTTAATTATCAGACAAGTCTTGTATTCATATAGACAGATATATATGATATGATTGGGTTGATGCAAAAGTTTCTGGAATTCTGTAGATCTCTCTAAAATATTTGAAATTATTCTTCAACAGATGACATCTAGAAGTTTCTTGAGAGGTACATAAATGAAGGGCATTGAGATACACAGTCATAAAGAGATATTCTGTGTGGTGATACTAACTTTTTAAATGTCAAGTTTTCCAGATCATTCTTGTGATAAAATTTGCTCATGTATGCTTTAAGATTATCAATTTGATATAAACCTTCATTCCAAGAGATGAAAAATGATACTTGTATGTACAAAAGTACATCTTAAAGTACAAAAGGTCATGGACTGATATCAGTCAAGCAGCATGGGCAATACCAAACACCAGAATGGCATCAGCACAAGGTTATGCTCTGTATTTGGTTGGATGTTTACAGACCAGTTCATTGAAAGATACTTCCACAAAGTACAACTATTACATCTGAAATCTACTGCACTCATTAATGAAAATCATTGATGAGTGCAGTAGATTTCAGACAAAGGTATCAACCAGCTTGCCTACTCTGGGATACTCAGATTCAACTTTGGATCATCATTGTTATTTCCAAGGGTGGGTTGGTCCAGATACATTTAGTCCCATCTCTCACCAGCTCTTTTCAATTGTGGTTCTGGCCAAATTCATGATGGGGATAGAATAAGGTGGTCTTGATGCTTGTAGTATGGAAACAGTTAAAAGAAAAAAAAAACGATTTTTATTCATTAGCATTATTTGTCAATAAATGCATATGTTTACATTGTGTAAACAAAACATATTCAATAAAAAATGAATTTTATATCTAATTTATAAAATAACATTCACTGTCTAAATATCATTTAAATTATTATGTAAACAAAACAAAGAATGAAATATAAATTTTCGTCTACAATTATGTATCCTGGCTTTACAAATAATGCTACAAAGTTTTACAGAAAACAATTTTTTATTTTATTTAATATACAGGTATATTAAATAAAATAAAAAATTTTTTCTGTAAAACTTTGTAGCATTATCTGTAAAGCCAGTATAATAAGTTTTGATATTAGAAGATATATAATTGTAGATGAAAATTTATATTTTAGTAAGAAAAGGACATTGAGGCATTTTAATAAAACAAAGAATGATTGATTGAATTTATATGTATATATATTAAAACACCATTTAAACTACAGTGACCTTTTTGAATTCTAAAGCTGGCATGGTCTACTTTTCAATAGTAAAGGACCTTATGATACTGTTTTGATATGGAATTAGGACAGAACACTAAAAACATTTGGTTTTATGCATTCATAATGGAAATCTGAATACTAGTAATTAATCTTTAAATTTTAACACTTACAGCCTTAAGACTTGTTCACTAGACTTATTGTAAATTTCTTATGTTTAAAGCTCCAGTAATGTAAAGGCACAGGTTGTTTATGACTGTTCTAAAGAAAAGAATGCTTCTTAAATGTATTATCATCATTTTAGTTTATTTGTGATTTAATATTTTAAACTGAATTTTTTCTATTGATTTAAAAATGTTTCAAAAATTTTAATTTTTAGATTTGTGAACAATTACCTATGCTGTTATAATTTCATATAAATTAATAATGCATTAATAATAATTTTACCAATATATTAAGTAAACAACTTGAGGAGACACTGTCATTGGCTTGCTTACATCATCTAGACATATCCATTATTTTATGCTGCATTTTTCTTTATTGTTTTTAGAATAAAAATTGTTTTTTATTTACATATAAATGACACAAGATAATCAGAAAATAATCAATTTTACATAAAATTCTCTTTTGCTATTACATTCAATTTTTTTTTACCATATTTACTAGTAATAGTTCATTATATTGATATATAAGTTAATACATATAGTAAATAGTTTTATAACATCTAGTTTTATTATTCAAGTTAATATATTGAAATTTTTCATTGCTAAACTTTAATATTTTTTTTTGTATTTTGTTAAATATAATCATAATATATCAATTTTTTTTACATGAATAGACGAGTACGTCCTGGAAGCATTGATGTACACCCAACAGAGAAGGCTTTGATTGTGACATACGAATTAGAAGCTACTGTAGTTGGAGAATTGGGTGATACTATGTTNAAAAACAGATAAACTAATGAATTTGCCAATTTTTAATATGCACATTCAGAAAATGGATGTTTGGCGTTAATGGACATCCTTTCACCTGAATTAGTCCCTTAAATTGAGGTTTTACTAAACTTTAATATTTTTTTTTGTATTTTGTTAAATATAATCATAATATATCAATTTTTTTTACATGAATAGACGAGTACGTCCTGGAAGCATTGATGTACACCCAACAGAGAAGGCTTTGATTGTGACATACGAATTAGAAGCTACTGTAGTTGGAGAATTGGGTGATACTATGTTAGAAGAGACAAAAGAATGTCAAAAGATGTAAGTTTTTCAATGATTATATTATTTAGATTTTATTAATGGGAGCATTTAATAAAATATTTAAGTTAAAAAAAGATAGAAGAAACACATTTGAATAATAATTAAACAGTCCTAAATTTCAAAATATTGAAGACTGATAATACATAATTACAGTCGACCCCCTATAATTACGATTCCTATAAAACTACGAAAAAATATACGTATTTTGGAAATGTTGAGTCGGATTAGTGTAGAATCGATTAATTTTATGGAAGAAAACCTTTCAATCAGCCGTAGTCCGTAAACTTGACACGTGTCGGGCTGTGATTGGAACGACTTGTAAGAAATCGGATTCCTAATAAATTGGAACGTATCTATATCTTATAGGGGGGTCGACTGTA